CTGCTGAGCGTTAACAACTTCCGCTGACGTAGTCACGCGCCACCGTAGGTCAAAGCTTTATATGCTTTATTTTATTTTATTTTTAAAATCTTTCTTTGGGAAAATGAGACTGATAGGATGATTAGGGTGCAGTGTGCATTAACACAAAAAATATATATTGCTAACATGTACAAAGACACACAAATTTTTATTTATTTATTTTTTTCTCCTCTACACCTTTCGGATCTAATTGGGACGAGTCCTAGATCTACCGGTAGATCAGGATCGACGTAATGGGCACCCCTGCTTTACACCATCGGGGAATTATTTTTTTTAACATATTCATTGCAAATAATCAGCAACAACTTGAGGCCCTTGTATATTCTCGACACAAAAATGGCAAAACTATGCATACTGTCAGAGAGAGCAACCATGCAACCTGTTTAGTCACTCACTGCATCAGGCAATGTGAACTCATCGGGGTGCTCTGGAGGCGTGCACTTCTGAATCTCTTTCAGCAAAAGAGGGTATTTCACCAAACGGCTTCGGGGAAGATCCAGGAAGTTCCACAGGTCCAGTTTCCTGCTGAACGACGACTCCTGGCACAGACGCAAGAACTTTTCCACCGGTTTCTCGTTCTTCTTGTGGTCCAGCAGGGCTTTAGCTTCCACCTGGTTGCAGCAGTATGTCACATAGGCCTCCAGGCAAGGAAACTGCACAGTGCAAAAAGGAGAGGGCGGATGTTCAGGAGCAGAGACGTGGTTGTGGCTTTGAGAGGCTAGATGCGTCCAATACGTGTGTGTTTCTGTGAGTTGGGGAGGGTACAGTAGAAGAAAATATACCAACCCAATTCATCAGAGTGGGAGCCACTTCACCCACAGTTTTCTTGGACCCTCTCAGACTCTCCAGACGGCTCAGCAGATCTTGTTTGGAGGAAAACCAGGCCTCTTGCATTAGTAGTCATTATAATACCACAGTCTAAAATGCCAACAATAAAGATCTCCACAATATATGATAAAGATCCAATACATACATGGACACTGATACACACACACACACACACACGCACACACAATATGTATGAATCGCCCTTTACAGACACTGTCAAAGTCAGAGTGGTTGTGTTAAAATAATGTGTGTACTGGATGTATCAAATATATTTACATTCAGTACTGCAAGCATACAGAGACCTGTTTTGCATTGTGGTTAGTTCTTTTTTTTTTTTTTTTTTTTAGCAACATGAGCGCAAACAACCAGCAAGTTGCGTGCTTGCATCGACACTGGCCGGCCACAACATTAGGTACACTCTTAATCAGTCTCACGAGTGCTTTTGACTATTTTGCTTTTTTTTGTAGTTTGCTGTGGTGTAGACTTGATGCAACCCAAGTTTAAGACAATTTAAAATTTTGGATCAGATTTTAACAAGAAACATCAAATCTGTGATGACATCATCCTGATGCTAAATAACCAAGAGTGGAGGTTCACCTTCATGGAGAGGAATGAGAGAGTCCAGAGTGCCAAAAATCTGCCTGAGTTCATTCTCGGACATGATGTCCAGTTTCAGCATGGGCTCATAGTACACCTGGTGGGACCCACAGAATGATACCATAAGTACTTTTGAGAGATAAAATTGTAATTAACTCAAGAACAGAAAATTGTGAACAAAGACTTTTCTTTCTTTCTGACTGCTCTGGTCTCACCAGTGGTTCCATTACTCAGTCAGTTCAACGGAGAGTTTAAAAAATCCATCCGAAGAAGTAAGTTGCTTTTGGACGTTTTATTAAACTTCAGTGTAAAACTAACAAAAAAAATATTAGAAATTATAGGTACATGCAAGTACATAAAAGTACGCAACAGGCGAGTATAGCATTCTTTATCATATACGCAGGTACGTAAACTAGCGATGTTGACTGTGCTGCTTCAACAGAGAAAAAAATATACCTTTCGGGTATTAATGCACTTAATCAGAATAATACTCTCTTATTCTCTGTCGATGAAAACAGGTAAGTGTATAAAGTATATGCATGAAATCCGGTAATGGAGAAAATCATTATATCACCCATACTGAATTAGCAAATAAGCATCTATGCTTCCATCGCAATACACCAATATTGCGCTCAAAGCATACAGATGTGAACCTTTATTGCATGTTCATGGGCAGACAACAGGATTGGGAATTATGCTAATCAGACTGAACAACGTTCTGTTGGCCACGCATGTTATTTACTTCCTGGTAGGAGAACAGCCATGAGAGGGGTTTTTAAGTATCTGTGGCTGGTATCGGGAGCCTTCATGCTACTTGATACATTGAAATAAGGCCAGTATAACTGATACCTGGTTGTCGGTATGCGCCGGTTGATAAACTACTTTTATAATCTATTTTATATTTTAAATGGGGTGACATTTTATCAGTGATTCTCCAAGTGTGGTACTAATACCACTGGTGTTATGCATCCTGACTCTGGCGGGATGTGAAATAATCACTACTTATTCAATTCAGCTGTACTTAAATTAATAGTAATAATAATTTTTAAGAACTATAATATTAACATTTATTTTGGTACAATTTTTTTGAATTCACTCTCCGAAATTTAGAATTCAATCAATATCGAATTATTTGCAATACGTTTTAATTTAATCATCATTTCAGTACTATTTAAAAATATATGACTTATCTACATAAGTTTACAGTAGAATCAAGTAAACATCTCATTTTTGTGAGGAACACTTAGGCCTACTATGCTACTGTATTTTCATCTTGTCATTGTGGTGGTACTTTGTGTAAGACAATGCTATTCGATTTCTTTTGTGGATATATATATAGTTGATGAAGCAGGGGCACCACATCGGGTAGGACCTATGATGCCTGCCTAGAGATGTAAAAAAAATTTAAGCAAAGAAGCGAACATATATTATGCACTGGAGAAAGGATTGACGTTGTGTACCTTCTTAACAAGACTGAGGTCCTCAATGAGTTGTCGCTCCCCCTCAGTTAGCTCATAGATCACCTGCACAGGAGGCGAAGACACACATCTCACTTCACACACACTCACGCACACACTTGCATAACATGCGTGATGCACAGACGGGCCGACGTGAGCCCCCGCAGCTGACCGTTCAATAAAGGAAGTTGAGCCTGCTGTTCCAACTCACATCCTCTTTCGCAATTCTTCTTAGAGCCATCGATAACACAACATGTTCAGTTTTATTTAGCCTCTCTGAGCTCTCTCCTCACTCACCTCTTGACGTTTGATCTCCTTGGCAGTCAGGTTGTGACTTTCCACCGTGTCACTCCAGCACTGGCTGTTACGCCTCCGTGGAAACGACGAGCCCTTGTTGCGAGAGCGCAGGGGCGGCGTGGGCAAAGGCCGCGCTTCTGTACGAAAACTAATGGAGCGCTGCAATAACACGTGAATGAGCGCGTATATGTTCGACTGGACCGGTACACGAAGCGTGTTGCTGCACAGTACCGAAATGGATTGTCCGATGCGTTTGAGAGCAGGGGTCTTGACCGGGGTGATGACCCCTGTTAGGCTGTTTGACTTGACAACTGGTTTGACCCGTTTGTTGCTAGGCTCCTACGAGGGAAAATCAAGAATCCAAATTCGACTCGTGTGAGAAAGCAAAGCTTCATCAGGGTGGCTCAGTCGTCCAACTTTTACCGACATGGAAAATTCACCTCTGAGTCATTCAACATTTCAAACTCCTCTTGTTCCACCTCTGCCTCGTCGTCGTCGTCCTGGCAAATTCAGAAGGGGACAGATACAGTGGATCTAAAAAGTCTACATATCCCTGCCCAAATGCTAGGTTTTTGTGATTAAAAAAAACACAAATAACTATATCCTCTTATAATTGGAAACGTGGCTCTACTACCCACTAACTACCGACGTTCAAATTCATGATCAAGAGTCAGCACAAACCTGCTACCATTTAAAGCGCTTCATATACCCCAAACACATTTCGAATGTTCAAGTAGACTTTCCTGACATTTTTTTTTTTAGGTTTTGTGGAAACACTATCGGCTAATTACTAATTCACTACCATTGACAAGTATACCTGTACTTGTCTATTGTCTCTTTTCAACGGGGATAGGTGGGGGACGGTCTGATGCTACTCCTTTGTCAATTTCAAACTGAGAAACAATTTTATTTATCATTGCTCCATTTTAAATTTAAGATCGGAACCGTTTGTAAGTCCACTGAGAGAAACGGCTGGACTGAGACATGTACCGGTACACTATTACAGGTTTATTGTTTACATTCACTCTCAAAAATTGTTTTTTTTTTTTTCTTTAATTGAGGTTTACAGGTTTCAGATCACATGAATGGTGCAAGAAATTTCAAAACATTTACATTGGTCTTTTTTTTTTTTGCGCAACAGCCCGTTATTTGAAGAGGATTGTGTAGGCATTTGATAATCACAGTAAACAAAAAACAGAGCAAACTCTGCAGTCATGAGAGCTCAGGAAAGTGGAACGAGAAATGTTGCGTGGTGCGGCCTTCTCATTTCCTGTGTGAGTCTTTCAAAGAGGAAGAGTGTTGAAAGGGGACCGTGTGGAGTAAAATGCAAGGGGACGGCTTGCTTCTGTCGTAAATGCCGAAATCAAATGTATTTGAAATTGTTGGCAGCGAAAGAAAGCCATGATTTACAAAATAAAGACAAGGGAAAATCAGCAGTGTTCAAAAGCACTTGTTCTCAAGAGACAACTCACTTCTGAGATTCGGATCACAGGATCAGTGGTTGAGTCTTGTTTTCTCTTCTTCTAAAACAAGACAATGGTATGAGTTTAATATACATCTTGTTTTTAATGGGATGACACTTCTATATGATTGGTCCCCAATTGACACACTTACTCCAGCATGGTCACAAGTGGTTGTAGACTGACTCTCTCCTGCTCTTTGTGACCTCCAAAAAATATTTTCAAATTGAATTTTTTGGCGAAAACTTGAGAAACACAACTAAGCAAACGTACAAGCAAATAGTCATACAGTAGTCAATACCAGTATATATGGACACAAAGTTATAGGTTAATCCATTTAAGAAATATTTTAAACACTATACCAATGAGTAGCATCAATAAGTCATACCAGCTTGTCCTCGTTTCACAGCTCTCTTCCACTTCCATCTTCTGTCATTAAATCCTTGTCACAGATCCATGTCATCCCCCTGAAGCATTAATGCTGAAAACCTGCAAGGGTCCCTTGTTTTAGTGGTAGTGTGACACTGCAATACAGCAGAGAGCAGTGCAAACTCCTTCCACCTCGTTTGCTACGCTATCTTACCCACAACCACATCCTTGGGAGGCGAGCTAACTAACCTACTTGTATCTGACACACATTACTTGTATCTGACAAATGGATGAGTGAACTCAAGCTGCAATACTGTGTGAAGAGAAGAGGAAGTGAGATTGCATCTTATAAAGGCAAACTTGATTTAGTGCTAGTAATTACATGTCAAATGAACATAGCTTTCTAAAATCAATTGTACTGTATAAGCTGAAAAACAAGTAAACCCTTGCAAATATTTCAGTGTGGCAGGTTTTTTGCAGTCAGGTGAGGATTCTCTGGAATTGTCTGATCAATTTTATGAGCACACTGCAATTAAACTTTGATATGATCAGACCATTAACGCACAAATTTATGGTAACAACGTTCACTGCAAAATGAGGGTGGGAAAGAAATAAGTCACAAGTGGTGATTTGACATTTATTCACTATCAAGCTAAGTGCTCCCATATCAAGATACATTACCTTGCTTTTACACCGTAATGTCATTAAGATTTTACACTGTAGAGAGAAGAGTTTATCATCTACATGTTGTGTGAGCCCTAATTAGCCCAGAAAAAAATACAAAAGAAAAATAAAACAGGACATGAAATACAAAGAAATCTGATTCAATGTGCAAAAGCACTCAACACACTGCAACGAGTGCTAACTGAGGTGAGGTGCCTGAACTCCCCCCAGCTATGAATTCAACTTGACGGGGGGTTCACTTTTGTGTGCTGGGGGAGGCAATTGAGGCGCAATCTGATCTTCTGGCGGTCCCACAACCCCCCCAAAAAATAAATTATTGGTGCCATTGGAGAATTAGGGGACGTGGTAGTCAAATGGATAAAATTCTCACATGTATCATTTGGATGAATTATTTACTGAGGGTTTTTTTTAAATGCAACATGTAAAAAGAAGCCAACAGTCAAGTGACACGTAACGCAGTTCTGAGGAGCAACATCACCCAGGCTTCAACTGAGCCCTGAGGCTCTGCAAAGTATCAGGACTTCCGGTATATGTACAGGTTTCCTGCCGCCTGCAACAGCCGTGTCTCAAAGTACTGAACACAAGTGGATCCCTTACACGAGCTACCAGTGAGTCAGCTCAATGGGACTATGTACACCGAGGCACGGGTTCACACAAACCACAGGCCGAGAGGGAAGGAGAGAAAAAAAAAAAAAAAAGATCGATTTGTCCTATTGAGAAGACCTGAACCACCCCCTAGTGCCCCCGCCCGCAAAATGACCTCAACCCCTTATAATAAACATCATCTCCCTCCGGTAACACCCAACCTCCCTCAGGTGGGTCCAATGTGGAGCTCAGCGAATAGTGTATCTGACGTATGGCACTTCCACGTCTTCGTCCGACATGTCGTTGCAGCACAACTCGAACACCAGAGCTTTGACGTGTTTGCCCAACTTCTTCTTCGACACCTTGGTCACAATCTCAGTCATCCTACGGGACACAGATGAAAGGAACATTGTAGAACTTTAACTAGGGCTACAGCCATTAATTAGTTTAATAAAGTCAGAATATTTTCAGAATGGACTATTCTATCAATTATCCCATCGATTAATTACATAAATTGATTTGGCAATGTCACGAAAATGAACAAATGATGCATGTACTTATTTTTGTCTACTTGGGATCTCCACTCCCATGTAGTATCTGTATTGTTTTGAAATGTAGGGCTTGGCCTGGTGAGTGACATGCGTATCAAATGAGTGCAGTCTGGGCTAGCTGTTAACTGGCTAACCCATTAGCTGTCGGCATGTTGAACAAGTCAGCGTGAATTGTAGCCATCGGCAGCTTGTGTACGAATGTGCTTATTGCGCGTTTGTTTTGTTTCTGCTTGTTCTATAAAACGACTGAATTGCACCGGGGGCCATATCTGCGGTATTACATTACATTCTTGACTAGCAATGGGTGTGTGACTGTATCACAAACCCAATTCCAATGCAGGTGGGACGATGTGTTAAACAAATTCAAAACAGAACACAATGATTTGAAAATCACATTCAACCAATATTTAATTGAAGAAACAAGTTGAGTAACTAATAGGGATGTGACGAAATTCAAACTTTACAATGCGATATCACGATATGAACCTCTTGATGCGATAACTATAACAATTTAGTGCGGATATTTGTGATATAAAAAAAGCTCAATACTGTATAAAACTCATGATACTGTGGGGGAAAAAAGCTCATGCCGATGCACAAAATTGTGTTTTTGTATACAACAGTCTCGACCATGAAATAGCTGGTCTTAAATGTTATGATTTCCTATGGGATCCACAGCGCAAAGTATCATGATCTATTTAGTTTACAATGCTGTGTTCATCTGAAACGGGACGAAAACTAATGTTTGACGCAGATGTTGAAAAATATTTGCTGGTATGACTGGTTTATGGGAAGGATTATTGCTACAGTGTTTTTAGTTTTGTCCATGTGAGCAATAATCAGTAAATGTGTACTATCTTTTAATTGGCGAGAGAGAGAGAGAGAGAGAGAGAGAGAGAGAGAGAGAGAGAGAGAGAGAGAGAGAGAGAGGGCCTCTGTATAACACAAAATACAAATAAGCAATTGCATGTAAATGTCTCACCTATGCAATGCTATTTAGCTGAGGTCATAATTATACATATAGTCTAAATAGCACAGGTAACATTAATATGAATGTACAAAAACGACCTACAATCACTCATAACATTTATTGAGGCACTTGCTCATGTGCACACACGTCAATCAAGTCAATTTGTGGAGGAACCCAAATGTGTTACATTCCCCTTCATCTGGCGATTTGGTGGCCAAAATGTGTAATTCGAATGAAATGCCACTAATAAACCAGCCACTCGAGGGTGTTGAAACTGCACAAATGGAAAACAATCTGGCCCTTTGAACAGATGTGCTGATATTGTGGCAGTTTTATTATTGTGAGATCGCCGTTATCGCCACATCCTAGTCACTAATTTAAAATAAAATTCACTGAAGCCCCAATAAGTGAATTGCGATAGAACATGGAATGACTATTCGATTAATTGTTGCAGCCACCATTCTTCCTCACTCACTACATGACATGAGAGATTGTACTCACGGCAGCTCGAGTCTCTCTCTGAGTTTGGCAGCAGGCATGAAGAATGAGTAGAGCATGGACACTCCCTGAGAAAGCATGGTGATCTCCAACTTATGCTCGTTCTAAAAGTAAAAACCAAATTTAATTTCAGCACAACACAGCACGTTGAGAAACAAAGAGGGCTTGGTCAAGCAGATGAAACCATACTTTAAAGAAGTCCAGAAACTGCCGCAGTGTCATCTCCTCTCCACTGGGCTGCAAACCACTGACCTCGAACCGATCCCATAACGTCCACTCAATTTCATAGTACTGTAACAAAAAGGCCAAAATGGGACAATTAGTCATCACATTCAGCCTTGCAGCCAACGGTAGGTGAGCAAATTGTCTCCTCAGCACACACTGAAACCATCAGCGTGAGAAGTTCAGTAGAACGCACTTGCACCCCGACAGATGAACTGCATCTGCCTGATGCATCAGTATTAGCATGGCTGGATCATCATGGGAGCTAATCATTGGGGTCAATTTTCGATGTCAGCTACACGCGTATAAAGTAAAACTGCATGCCGCAACGGTACCTTGTGTCTGGGAGCAGCAATGGGGTCGGAGAAGGCAAAGAAGGGCAGCGACAGATTCATGAATCCGTTCTTAAATGACTCCAATTTTTTATGCCCTTGGACGATCTTGATGAGCTCGAGGCACACCAGACCCACCACAGCAGCTGTGGTAGTGGCAATGGCGGGAATGATTTTGCCAGCTATAAGTTTGCTCTGGATGGTGGGATAAGAAAAAGGACAACTGCACAATCAGATATACAGTCAACAAACTGAAAGTCGAGCTCTGATGTGTTCAAAGATGCAAGCACCCACATTGTGTCTGTCAGTTGGGGGGATATCGTAATTCTCAGCTCTCAGGTTGGATGCTGCTACGATGAAGTCCATGTGGAAGTTGGTATCATCATCCTATATTGATAGCAGCGCAAATCAGCAGGTTGTAAGACCAACTAAAAACATCACCTGGAGAAGAAATGACGACAGAAAGTGTACCTTTTCAAAGTCGATAGCGCAGAGTTTGAACTGAGAAGACTCAGGCGCAGGCAGCAGGACCTTCAGCTCCTCTAGTCTAGAGTCATCTGCTCAAGAAAAAGGACATTTTACTAAAACTGTAGACATTGTTAATTTTTGTAATCCTGCCTGCTTACCAACAGACGAATTGCTATTCTGTAGCTCCTGATCAGAGACGTGGATTTTCACCCCCGAACGTGGAGTGAAATTAGGCACCTTCACTTCCTGTGAGAGCTTGATCACAGCTGCACGATCAGTGCAGCTTTCTATGCCATACGTCTGGGCAAACAGGTTGGCTGCGGCCATTATGTAGTCTATGTGCAGGTCCTACAAGACAAAGTAACGCATCCATTTTTCCAGAACTGGACATGCTGCCCGAGAACAAAGCAGGATGAGGGGGTATAATAAATTCATCCTCACATTGCTAGTGCTGAATTCTAGAGGGTGAGGACACCTCTTTGGACCAGACCAGAAGGGGGCGCCAGAGCTGGTTAGCTGAAAGCAAGAAATGCATCATACATGAATATTGAATAACAAAAGAGTGATGCAAAAACACAACGCCTCAAGGTTTTTGTGCGACTGAGATGGCTCAAGGCCTCTTCACACCAAGTGGTGAGTTTAATTTTGCCATGGTAAAGACGGCAGGATTAGTAAACCCCAATATGGGTTGTGTTATACCTGCGTGGCATGTATGTGGGATGATGACTGCATTTTGTATCCCCTTTCCCCTTGTTGTGAGTCTTTGTTGACCAATCAATAGAGTAAAGCATGACTGTGTATGGCGGTTGGTACACGAAAAAAAAAAGGTTCTTGCATTTTCAGCAACCGATTGGTGGATACTTGGCTTAGTACTAAAACTTACTTCTAGACAGTAGAGCTTTCGACTCCACTAACATTTGTCCATGTGAAAAAAATA